GGTCTGAATCCGGCGCCGGGGCCGACCCCGGGTCCGGATCTGGCACCGACCCCAGGCCCGGGCCCGGTGCCGGGCCCGGGCCTGGCGGCAGGGCCATCCTGAGTCGGTCATGCATGCGACCCCTGCGGCCTCTGGCTCCCGGCGGGCAGCTGCTGGCCCTGCCGGCCGTGCTGGAAGTGGAGGTCACCGCGCATCCGCAATTTTTGCTGTCCTCCCCCGACCAGCCCCTTCGGGCACGTCGCTTGCGCCAGCCCCAGTGGCGCGGGGCCGGTCCAGCGACCAAGGTCCGGCGGGTTGGCGAAATGCCGCCACCCGTGCCGGCTCCGGCCTCCTTCGCCTCCTCAACGAGCACCCTCTCCGCGGCCCTGGTGAGTGCGGTGTCCACGGCTGGAGGCGCATCTCGGCCGGTGTCCCCCCGGCCGGCGTCCATCCCGGCCTCCCGCTTGACCGGGTCTCTGATGGACTCCCTATTGTTGGGGGCACTCGCCACGGGTTCGGCGCCGGCGCCGGCACCTGTGCCTGTATTCGCACCAGCTCCAGCGAAAGACGCCAAGCCCACCCGAGCTGTTGGGCGTGCTGTGGCGGTTCCCCTCCGTCTTGGCGCACCCGGGGGGGTGCCAAGTGCCGGGCCATTCCGGCGCTCGATGGTCTTGGCCATCCCGCCGGATTTCGAAACCTCGCGCTTGACGGCGGCCCTGGCCCCGGCAGCCATGCATCTGGCCGAGGCCGCCACGGCCCCTGCCGCTAGTGAAGAGCCTTCCCCCACTGCCCCGGGGCCATAGTTGCGGTTTCGAAAGGGGGCCAAAAAAAAAGCAAGTAAAAGCCGCATCTGAATGGGGCCGCGTTGCCCACGGCATCTTGCGATCCCGCGTGCCGCCGCAATGGACTTCCCTCAATGTGTAGACAAACGCCCAGAGGCGTTCCCCTCGTCCTTTTTTTGTCGCAAATGCACTCGGAGAAGAAGGACACACAGCGCCTGCATTCGGGACTGCGAAGGCGCCACTCTCATGTGGGCCCCCCCTTGCCCCGCTCGCGCCGTCGGCCGGACAAGAATGGCGTTGACATGGCTCCAAGCGGGATGGGGGGGGGGGGGGGGGGGGGCGAAGCAACAGGGAACAGGGGCTCTGGGTGTGGAGTGAGATGTACCATCCTCTCTCTCTCTCTCTCTGTCCCTCCCTGGAACGAGGGACAGGCGGACGCGGGGGGGGGGGGAGGATCCCAGCATTCAAACGAGGGACAAAAGGAAAAAATATTGTGCGCCCACCGTGGGGCTCGAACCCACGACCCTGGGATTAAAAGTCCCATGCTCTGGCCAACTGAGCTAGGCGGGCCAACTCTGATCGACGCACGCCAATAATGGCTTATAAATATCCTCCCTCCAACTGCCCACCGTGCCGCCAGGCTTTTGCCCCTCACCCTCGCGGGGGATTCCTCCCTCACGTCATCATTTGTGCCGGGGTGGGGGGGCTTCGCGTCATGATGGCTGCCGCGTTGTCACCTATTCCACAGGGGCGCGGCAGCAAAAAAAGACCACCAGGCACGGTGGCCAATCTCCCCGCATACGCAGCCCCCCAGCCACAGGCACACATCCGCCCTGGTGGGGGCGCGACAGTGTCAGGCGAGGATCAGCCCACAGGGAGAGGAATTTTTCAGGTCTATTGAGGTGGGGAAGTGTTTGGAGGGGGGATCCTCTGCAGGAAGCGAGACATGCATGTGGGGGTGAGCAGCGGACGGGCGGACGGCGAGAAATGTGTGTGTGTGTGTGTGTGTGTGTGTGTAGGTGGGGACACCACAGAGTTGGCTTCCCGAACGCACGTGCAACCAGGCGCCGCACAAAGGCAACCCACGGAGAGGGGAAAAAGCAAGAGCAAGGGGAAGGCTGGGCCGGAATGCGAACGCAATCAGCATCAGGGCAGGAGGAGAAGCCGAACACAAGGCCCGTGCCGGGTCTTCGGCTCTCGGCCCTTCGCGCTCCCTCGGGGGGCCCTGAGCAGCCATGACACACGACGCTGTCCCTTAGGCATTGGCGGCGGGCTGATCGGTCGGATCGTAGACAATGTACTTGGCACCCTCCTCGTACTGAGGGGCCACACTCTTGGGGTAGACACGCATGGGCGCGCGGTCCGGCCGGGCGAAGACGCGCACCTCGCGCGGGGCCTGCAGCGGGCCGATGTTGACGGCAAAGCGCTTGCGATCCTCGTTCCAGGTGAACTTGACACAGCCTTCGGTCAGGGCAAAGAGGGTATGATCGCGGCCCATGCCGACCTGTGTGCATGTCGGGGGGGAGGGGGGGGGGGGCAGAAAAAAAGACAAACAAACCCCGGCACGACAGTCAATAATCGAGTTGCAGTCATGGTCAAGGACAGGCGGGACAAGGAGACGGCGTTGTGACGGACATTCTCGCCGGGCATGAACTGAGTGCCGCGCTGGCGGACAATGATGCTACCGGCCTTCACCTCCTCGCCTGGCGAGAGGGCAGAGACAGACCAGGGGGGGGGGGGGGGACAGACATACACACATGTCGGCAGGGGGATGTGAGTAGATGGGCGCACTTACGCGCGGCCACAGCCACACAGACGGACAGATGCCCATCACAAGCCAGGGCATCACGCGAAGCCCAGGCAGAGAGGCAGCCCATCGGGGAAGTCCGGGGGGAAAGAGGCAAGCTCACATATACGCACCGCCAAAGCGCTTGACACCGAGACGCTGACCGGGCGAATCACGGCCGTTTCGAGACGAACCACCGGCCTTCTTGGAGGCAAAGCGCTGGGCCATCATCGGGCCAGCCGCACCGAGAGGAGCCGCGACGGCAGAAGCCAGCTGGGCCGGGCGCGAGAGCAGGCCGACCACTGTGAATGCGGAGTGAGCGAGCAGAAGGGCAAGGGGTCGGGAGGGGCAGGAGATATGGAGAGCAGTCAAGGAAGGGGCGAGCAGAAAACCACCATGGCTTCGTACCTCCGCGAGAAATGAACTGGGAGAGCATGGTGCGGTGGGGTGTTTGCGTGCGCGTGTGTGTGTGTGTGTGTGTGCGTGTGCGAGCGCTTCTATGGCCGGACTTGCTGCAAGGCTGAGACCGGGGCGGGGAGGAGGAAAACGGGGGGAGGGGGGCATGATGAGTGAACACGGGCCGATGGGAGGGGAGGGGGGGGGGAATGCGGGCACACCGATGCAAGAAGGGAAGAAAAAGGACAGGCAAGGTGACGCGCGGGATGCAGAGGGAGAAGATACCACAGGGGGGGGGGCGGGGCGGGGCGGGAGAGGGGAGGGGAGGGGAGACGGAGGGTGACAGATCCCGCGCGCTGGGGCAGCCGCCCGAGGGGGGAGCCTTTTCACCCGCCTCGAATGACATTCCGCCGGCGGGCAGAGCAAAAGGCGCATCCGTCGGCATATGCAGGGCACCACGCGTCGGCATGCCCAAGCGTCGGCATCTGCCCCGGAGGCGCAGATCGCTCGGATCGGGATCTCCCTCGGCCGGGCAAGGACACGCGGCAAGGGAGGGGGGTGACGGGCGCCAGGAGGGCCTCCTTCCGACGGCGGCCCCTCCGTCGCCCTCGGCAGCAGGGGACCCCGGATGAAAAGCCAGCCGCCGGAGGGGACTGGCACCTTGTGCGGTGGGCATATGCCTCCTCTCCCCCCCCCCCCCTCCACTTCCCTGCCAGTCTCTACCTTCTTTCGCCCCCCCCCTCCTTCCCCTTCCGTCCCAACTCGCACACACAAACCATGACTGTCCTCCCCACCGACAGCGCGCATCGCGAGCCGGAGGGTGCCACCACCCCGACGCTTGGCTCGCGCGAGTTCCCCTCGGATAACGAGGACGAGTGCCCGGATCTCGAGAGCGCCGATGCCCCGATCAGCGCCCCGTCCTCCGCTGGCGCCGGCAGCCCCAGCGATGAGGAGCTTGGCGATGAGGCCTCGGACTGGTCCGACTGGGAGGCCGACGAGCAGGAGCTTTCCGCCATGGCGGTGGCCTGCCTCTTCTGCCCGGCGCGCCTCAGCGATATTGAGCTCGCCAACGAGCACATGGCCACCGAGCACGGCTTCGATCTGCGGGGCCTGATCGTGGAGCACAGTACGTCGGCGCAAAGCCTTTGGCGCGCTTCTGCCACCGTGTCCGGCGGCTCTCCCATCGAATGCTGATGCTTTTCCCCGCCCTTACCCTCGCCGCTCTCCCTCGCACTTGCCTCCCTTTCTTTCCCCCCTCGCCTCGCCAGGCCTGGACTTCTACACGGCCTTCCGTCTGGCCAACCTGGCGCGCAAGCACCAGGTCGCCCCGTCGTCGGACCTGCCGCCGATCGCCGTGGCTTCGGTCCGCGACACCGAGGACCAGAGCCTTCTTCTGCCGGTGGTGGCCGATGACATGCTTCTGGTGTTCCTCAGCGAGCTGGTGGACTTCGACGCCATGGAGGCCGGCGCGGTTGCCTCTCAGCAGGGTGCGCACACTGAGCATGGCTTCCTCCCAGTACGGCCCGGGGCTTTCGCTGACACAAAGATGCGCTTCACCTGCCCCTCCCCCCCCCCCCCCCCCCCTCCTCCTCTACCTGCCTCCCCCGTGGTGGCCAATCTACATCCATAGATGCCATCCTCGCTTCGGTCAGCCCGGCCGAGTTGCTTGAGCGCCTGACCCTGGCCGAGCGCCGGAACCAGGAGCTCCTGGACAGCCTGGCCTCCTACAAGGAGATGGCCGAGCGGGCCCTGAAGAAGCAGGACCTGGCCGCGGCCACCCTGACCGGCCCGGGGTCCGAGCAGGAGCAGCAGCAGCTGGCCGACACGCTGTCCCCGCTGGCCCTCGGCCAGCAGGACCGTGACTACTTCGACTCCTATGGCACCTACGAGATCCATGAGGAGATGCTGCGGGTGCGCCTTTGCCCCATATACCGTCCCCTTTTGGCCCGGCACCTTCGAACAAGTGTCTCTGACTCATGTGCACACGCGCACACATACCCGCGGCATAATTCTCCCCCCACTTAAAGGACACCGTTCGCACCGAGTCCTATCGGTCTTTCATTGAGGACAATGCCCACCTCATCCGCGACAAGGTGCGTCCCGGCGTGTCACCTCCCCCGTGGCCTCCCTCCTCGTGCTCATGCTCTGGCCGGCCGGTCGTGCACTGACTTCCCCTGCCCGCTCCAGATTGTCCTCGATGTCGGCTGCGGCACCGGTATCCTGTCGATGTTCGCCGCACGCGCGGGTGCCAAGCACGTCTACGCGGTCGATGCCTCGTCCGGTGTGATTCCCTTCGCCCGTAGCAACATCAAGGAGAACGGCTTCGAGGACAAGATCACCGTCATCTTGTGCGTTGTTCCCCCTTTCCCTCCGCGCGCGCCCCCCCCCCCCCTCTTCCTGTGGAACTACACCCGGACTCTTGCCCTGTGTGTCCTCTAACATGCCAACCATCCTCCCCGGTCAGCGGCAAGGTTGAGGAGATCAGCCTCCCAGTTGAGAAGGTGGATATCATTATCTCCGAGTGGATGGTGCGCACCTCCCATGGTCGGGGGGCCAGTCTTGCCCTTCCCTCTCTCTCTCTCTCTCTCTCTCTCTCTCCTTGCCCCTTCTCCCCATCCCCACCCCCGTTTGCTCTGCCTTCACTGATCACATCGGCATCTCATGCTACACCCAGGGCTACTTCCTGCTCTTCGAGTCCATGTTCGACTCGGTGATCGCCGCTCGTGACCGCTGGCTTGCTGATGACGGCCATGGTACGCTCAGCTTGTGCTTCTGCCATTTTCTCCCCTTTCTTTTTGCCGATTTCCCTCTTTGTCCTCCCCCTGCTGCTCGGTGAAGAGGGAATAGCGGGGCCACCTTCTGGTATTGACTGGCATTCGACGCGCCCAGTCCTTCCCTCGCATGCTCGGATCTTCCTTTGTGGCGCTGGCCCATCGGTTTGGGCCGGCCGCCGGGAGTTCTGGTCCGATGTCTATGGTATGTGCATGCACATGCCCCTTGGGCATTGGCCCTCTTTCTGTCCGCCCCGTTGGCTCTCCCCTTCCGACACTTGGCTCGCCTTTCGCTGACACGGTGAATGTTGCTGTCGGGGTGCTCCCGTGGCCATTCCCCACCGCCAGGCTTCAAGATGCCCGCCATGTGGAAGCGTATCTCCAGCCTCCCTAGCGATCAGGTTCTGCCGGCCGATTGCATCGCCACCAATGAGGTGGTCATCTTTGTGCGTACTCTCCCGCGTCCCTTCCCCGGGCCTTCTCCTGGACCTGGGGGCTTTCACTCACCCGCAATGGAATCCCGTCACAACCCCACCCAGGACATGAACGCTCGTACCATCGGTCTCAATGAGATCGAGTTTACCCACCGGTTCTCCCTCACGCCCAAGGTCCCCGGCACCCCCCTGCGCGGCCTGTGCGGCTTCTTTGACATTGATTTCTGGTACCGCGACACTGCCGGTGCCCAGCAGGTGTCCTTCTCCACCAGCCCCGAGGCCACGACCACGCACTGGCGCCAGACCTTCCTGCCCTTCTCCCAGGACATCGTCCTGCCGGAGGGCGTGGCCTCGCTCGACGGGCAGATTTCCGTCCGCCGGCATCCGAAGAACCCGCGCGAGCTTCTGGTCACCGTGGACCTGGACCCGATCGGCGACATGGCCCCTGCGCAGACCCTTCAGTTTGACTACTAAATGCACCGCCGCCGGCCGCATGCCGACATGTGTGCCCGCACGCGGCCCTCCTCCCCAGGAGGGCCGCGTAGAGGAGGACAAAAAGGCCGAGGGCCCTGCACACCTACCTCGTTCCCTCGGCCAACCTTCCTTTTCAAAGCTCACCATCCTCTCCCATTGTTTAATGCCACCCTGTCCACAACAAAGCACCTTCTCCGTAGACATCTCTCCTCCGCCGGCCAGGGGGCGAGAGCACGCATCCACAAAGGATCAACACACGTTTCCTGGGCAGTCCCCCAGTGCTCGGGGGGGAATCCGTTTGGCCTCGCATCTCACCAACGCACGGGCGAAGGAGCGGTGTCGCGCTTCGTCTTCCCCATCAAGCGACACCATGTGTGAAGTGGGGCGTGTATTTCGAGGAGGAGGGGGGGGGGAGGGAGGAATATGGTACATGTTTGGGGGAAGAGGAGGAAGAGAAGGAGGAGGAGGAGGAGGCATACGGCCCTCCTTTTTCCCCTTTCAGGCCTTCACATTGCCTCTCTTGGTCTCAGCCAGGGAAAAAGTGACACGCATGACACGTGCGACACGCACACCCTGCCGCCACTGCGGGGAGGGGGGGGGGTGGAGAGGAGAGAGAGGCGGGACAGGGGGGGAAAGGGGAAAGGCGGCGCGCCGGAGGAAATACACTCCCAGGCCGGCATCGCAACATGGGGGAAAGAAGGGGCGCGGAGGAGAGATGGGGCTGCTTGGAGGAAGAGAAAAAGGCAATCGCGCCCCAGATGTCCTCGCCCAGGACCGGCGGCCTGCCCCTTCGCCAGGAAAGCCGAGGCAGGGGCACATCACACGGGAGAAGCAGGGCATGCACACCAGGGTGGCAAAGGGAAGGGCAGGTGAGGAAAGAGCACCGGGTGTGTGGCTCAGTCAGTGGCATCCCCTTGCTCGCTGATTTGCTGGGCTTTCGCTCGCTCGCTCTGTCTCTCGCTGGCTCTCTCGCTCAAAAGAAGGAGGTGGCCTTGGGGGAGGTGGCGCCGGAGGTGGCGGCCAGATCGGCCAGCTTGGCCGCCTTGACGGCGGATGGCACCGGGCGCGGGCCGGGCGTGGCGGCGGCAGGCCCGTCAGCAGCACCCGGGCGGCATGCCTGGATCTTGCTCTCCAGCAGGTCGACCGTCAGCCGGAAGGTGGCAGGCACGAGATGCAGCTCGGGCTGGGGCTCAGTCTCGCCCAGGGCCGGGCAGCTGCGGTGGGCATCGATCTCATCGAAATAGGCACGCATGGCCCGGGTCTCGGCCAGCCAGTCGTCCAGGCAAATGTGCGACGCGGCATTGAGAATGCGCTCGGCATCCGCGGCATCCGCGGCCCCGGGCAGACCGGCGAGATTGATATCCCCCGCCCGGGGCACGTAGCCGACGAGGGACTCGGCCGCGCCGGTCTCCCCACGAGTGCGGGCCACAATCCACTCCAGCACACGCATGTTGTCCCCGAAGCCGGGCCAGATGAAGCGCCCGGCGCGCGCGGCGTCCAGGTAGCCGGGGGCCGCCGGATCGCGGGCCGCCCGGCGGAACCAGTTCACCAGGAACACGGCCGGCGGGTTGGTCAGCCGGCCGCGCATGGCCAGCCAATGCGACCAGTAGGCGGCCAGATGGTACCCGAGGAAGGGCCGCATGGCCATCGGGTCGCGGCGGAGGATGCCCGTCTGCCCGGTGCTGGCGGCCGTGGTCTCGGACCCGAGGGTGGCACCGAGCATGGCCCCGTGGGACCAGTCGAAGGCCTGCAGCACCAGCGGCACGGTGTCCGCACGCCGGCCACCAAACACCAGGGCGTCGATCGGCACGCCGGTCGGCGAGTCGGCCATCGGGCTGGCCGTCGGGTTGCGCCACATGGACACGGTGAAGCGGCTGTTCGGATGGGCGGCCGGGGTGGTGGCCGTGGCCCGGTTCCACGGCTGGCCCAGCCAGTCGATCAGCTGGTCGGGCGCCTGCTCGGTCATGCCCTCCCACCAGACATCCCCCTCGGGGGTCATGGCCACATTGGTGAAGATGGTGTGCGAGGCCACCATGGCAAAGGCGTGGGGGTTGGACGCGGCCGAAGTACCGGGGGCCACGCCAAAGTACCCGGCCTCCGGGTTGACGGCATACAGGCGCCCATCGGCCGGGTTGGGCCGGAGCCAGGCAATGTCATCGCCCACGGTGGTGATCTTCCACCCGCCGAAGGAGGCCGGCGGCTGGAGCATGGCGAAGTTGGTCTTGCCACAGGCCGAGGGGAAGGCCGCGGCCACATGCGACACCCGGCCATCCGGCGACTCGGCCCCGAGGATGAGCATATGCTCGGCCATCCAGCCATCGCGCCAGCCCGCATGGCTGGCCATGCGCAGAGCCAGGCACTTCTTCCCGAGAAGGGCATTGCCACCATACCCGGACCCGTAGGACAGGATGACATTGTCCTTGGGGAAGTGCATGACAAAGCGCCGGTCCGGGTCGCACTCGGCCACGGCATGCAGCCCGCGGCAGAAGTCCTCCGAGGTGGGGCCCAGCTGGTCCAGGGCCACCTTCCCGGCACGGGTCATGATCAGCATGTTGAGGGCCACATAGATGGAGTCGGTCACCTGCAGGCCGACCATGCTGAAGGGGGAGTTCAGCGGGCCCATCACATACGGGATGACATACATGGTCTTGCCCTGCATGGATCCCTCGAAGAGGGCATTCATGCGGGTGTAGGCCTCGCTCGGGTGCAGCCACTGGCTGGTGGGGCCGCAGTCGCGCGGGTCCTCCGAGCAGATGAAGGTCAGGTGCTCGGACCGGGCCACATCATTGGGGTTGCTCCGGTGTAGGTAGCACCCGGGGCGCAGGGTCTGATTCAGGGGGATGAGGACCCCATCGGACACGGCCCGCTGGGTGAGGGCATCCCGCTCGACGCGCGTGCCGTCCAGCCAGTAGACGCTGGCCGGCCGGGTCAGAGCCACCTGCTCCTGCACGTATCCCAGGATGTGGGGGTTGGTGGTGAGGGGCTGCCCGGCGCCATGGGTGAAGGAAGTGTCGGCATCGAGCATGGCACTGGGTGGCGGGTAGGGGGAGGAAGGGGCGGCGAGGGGGAGGGGGGGGAGGGGGAGAGAGTAGTGCAACAAGGCGATGTTAGCGGACGGAAGGCCGGTCGAAGGACAATCGAAGGAGCAAGAGGCCAGCGAGCGGGAGAGAAGAGGCGCTGGGAGCACGCACTAGTGGGGTTCAATCTGGACATCGGAGGCCGACATGGTGGCCTGGGTCATTGTAGCGATGGGGGGGGAAGGGGCTCTCAGACAACGGGAGGCAAGGGGGAGGGGCTCATCAAAGGAGGAAGGAGAGGGAGGAGGGGGGGGGGATGATCTCTCGTTCTGCTGCTTCACAGGACGCCTGGCGCCCCGAACCGAAGGGCGTCCCTTAAGTAGCCGACTGATCGGCCCTTCGGGCGAGGCAGGACCTCCCGGCACCTGAGACCCGGGTGGCTAGTGGGGAAGCAAGGCTGGAGCACGGTCCGTTGGAATTTTCCCGCTGGACCAGCGGCAGAGCCCCCTCGGCGGGGAGGGCGCCGACGCGCCGCGAGCCCCCGCCGTCAGGGAGCTTGCGATCTGGCACGGCGCAGGGTGCACCTGCGCGCATGCATGCAAGCCGGAATACGGCCCCCGCCCCCTCTCCCCGTCGCCGTCGCCCCCACCCGCACCGGGCCACAGAGGCCGAGAGCGGGCCCTCCCGTGCAGCGATAGACCAGGGAACAATAACCCGACAACGGGGCCGGGCAAAGTCCCGACGTGCGGCCAAAGTGAGATCCTGTCTTCGGACAGGGTGACGCCTGTCCCGCTGCCCAGGTGGGCGCAGCGATGCTCTGCCCCCGGGTCCTCTCGGCCCACCTCCCCCCCCCCCCCCCGGGGGGGGGTGACAAAGATGAGGCCATGAAAGGCCGGCACGAAGGCGCCCGTGGCGTGCACGCAGCCGGGCCGGGACGTTAATGCCGGCGTCGAGCCGGTGTGCCGCCACCCTCGGAGACGGGGGCCACCCACGTTTACGGACGGCCCGAAGAGGGGGGGGGGGGAGAGGCAGGCACGGTGGCGGGGGGGGATCTCGGGAAAATAGTTCGCAAAAAATGGACACCCCGCGCGCACCCCCTCGCGGAGGTGTTGTCTCCCGGGACCGGCTCCGGCTCCGGCTCGAGCGGGTCCCCAGCCGGACCAGGGGGGGGGGGGTCACTTCGTGGGGGCCCTCGCCCGATACTTGTGGGCCGTTCTCCCCCCGGGCACCGGCGATTGCCAACTGATCTCGACAAACAGGAGAAACAAGGGACGACCCCGACACGCGCCCACGCCCACACATGTACATGTACGCAGGCAGACCCACGCGAAACTCGGGCGGCGCATGCGCGCCGGCAAACAACGCCCACCACCGCCCGGCGCCCCAACATTTGACCCGCCGCCGGCTGGCCCCCGCCCCCCCCCGCCGCCGGGCGGTGGCCGGCCCCGAGGTGGCCACCCAACGCTAGCAGCCGAGAGAAGGCGAGAGACAAAGGGAGGGAGCGCACCAAACCCTCTCCCTGGATGACACGCTCCAGGCGAACCCGAGGCGACACGGCATGGAACACAGTGGGTTCCCAAAAAGAGGGGGGCTGGAGATGTCGCCTCCGGAGAATGGGAGGGCCAAAAGGTGCGGACACACGGAAGCACAGACAGGGCACCATGAGCACGCACCGCGCCGCACCGCACCGCGCAGGGGCCGTCCCATCGGTATCGCCGGGGGCCGAAGTGCTGCCGCACGCCGCCCCCTTTTCGCGCGGACGGCGTACCGCGCGAGGGATGCGGGCCCTTCGTCCCCCCACCCGCGCCGGGCCGCCCCGGCCCCCAGCTCACCGGGCGGAACGGGCTGTGGGTTAGGGCGGACCAGGGGGGCGGGAGACGGGCGTGCACGCGAACGGACATGTTGCCGCGACGAAAGAATGGTCCACGCGCATGCGTAGAATGTCCGGCCCATGGACGCGTGGGCCCCGTGGCACGAGTCGGAGATGGCTCCCTCGAGGGGGAGAGAGAGAGAGAGAGAGGCCCCCGGGCGAACAAACGCCCGCCGGGGCCTGGGACACATCTGGACAGACACCCACCCGCCCTCCTCAGCCCCCCGGTCTGGGGGAGCGGAGGGGGGGGGGGGGGGCACCGGCTGGGCCAGGCGCGCCGGGAAAGAACAGCCGATTCTTCCCGGCGGCCGGAATGTCGGGGTGCCTCGCGGGTCCCCACGAGCCGCGGGCAGGAAAAATACGCCCATTTTTCTGCCGCCCCCCTTCCCTGGGCCGGGGGGGGCATCGAGCGAGCGAGCGAGCGAGAGGGAGGGAGAAGCACGCGCGCGTGAACGCCGGTGCGCCCAGGTCGACACCGAGCGTCGACGGCGGAGGCCCCCCCCCCCCCCCCCACTCTGGCGTCCCTGACGATCGGCGCTCATATGCGCACCGGGGGCAAGTGTGACGGGGCCGCGCACATGGGATGGGCCGAGAGCCCAGTCATGTACGAGAGGCGGAATAATCCGCCCCCTATCCTGGCCGCTGGAGAGGCGCAAGGACGGGCGTTGACATACCCCGGCCGAGCGAGCGCATGCGTGCATGCTCGGAACAAAGGACCCAGAACCCCGGTCCGCCGGGCACCGAAGGGCGCCCGGGCCAGCCCGCGGCGGCGGCGGCCCAAATTTGGGGCCCCTGCTGCCCCTCTGCGTCGAACCTCCGATTCGCTCGCCTGCCCTTCTCCGGGGGAGTGTGGATGGGGGGGGGGGGGGGCCAAAAACGGGGCGGTCGGGGCCGGGGGCCCTCCCCCGCCCCGGGGCCGCCACACGGCCAACAATACCAAACCCAAACCACCCGGGCCCCCCCCCCCCCCCCCAGAAAAGGGCACCAATCTCTCAACCCCCCCCTCCCAGGGCACCCCGACTTGCCTGGTGGGCCAACCCTGCCCCGCGCCGCACGGCTGTACGCTGGACCGAGTCCCGCAGGGGGGGGCGGGGGGGGGGGGGCCAAAGTAAACAATCTCCAGCGCAGCCCCGCCCGTGAGGAGGGTCCGAACGAACGCACCAACCCGCGCATCCGCGCCCAGAGCCAGGCCTGGCACAACAATCGACCCGAGGAGCATGACCTCGCCCCGCCGCGCGGAAGGGCCGCGCGGAAGGGCCGCGCGGAAGGGCCGGCACAACTCGCAGTGTAAGACGCCCCGCGCGGCGCCGACACACCGCCGGGCACGCCATTTCCGCTTCCCCCGGCCCCTGGCCTGGGTCCTTTGCGAGGGGCCGATGCGCTCTGGCAAACAGCCGCTCCCACGCCCGCCGCCTGACCACTCACGTTATCCGGGGCATGGCGCGCTCCTCGCCGGACATGCCAATGGACAGCGTCCTCCGCGCCGGCCGGGGCTACTACCTGGGCCCCAGCGCCATACCGGGCCGGAGAACGGGCGCGCCTGCTCGTGGTACGCCTCCTGCACGCGCACACACACGCACGCACGCACACACGCACGCACGCACGCACGCACGCACGTACGCACGCACGCATATGCAGTGGCGCATTCCCGTCAAAGGGGCTTCTGAGTGGGGCACAAGGCGGCACGAGGTCGGGCGGGAGGTGGGCCGTGTATTTGGTGCCCATGCTGATACGCGGGCTCACGCTGTTGTACGCCACGGGCTCGGGGCACCATCGATGGTTGCAAACACAAGCCCAGCCGAATTACCGGTATCTAACAGCAGCAGGGCCGTCGAGCCCGCCGCCGGCCCTGGCAGAGGAAGCAGTGACAGATGGTCGCCGGATGGCCGACCACCATCCCCGAAAGCCAGGGCACACACCGACTGGGCATGAGCCTGGGCCCCATGGACCGAGGGCATCCCTCCAGGGCCCGGAAGCCGTGCCTCCAGGCACCCGCTCGGGGGGACGCGCACGCGAGCCACACCAAACCGCCCGCCAGCAGGCCGCTCCCCAGGCAGGCTGGGGTCCGTGTACCAGCCGAGCAAAAGATGGCTGTTGCTGACCAGGCTCCCGGGCTGTGGAAGGATCAGCCGGGCGCCAGACGGCACAACCCCCGGGTCGATCCTGAGGACGTGCGACATCGCTGTGAGAAGGGCAGGCGCCATCAAGGGGTAGGGAGAGAAAGAGAGAGAGAAAGAGAGAGAGAGAGAGAGAGAGAGAGAGAGAGAGAGAGAGGGCGAAAGGGGGAGACGCGCGCACTTGAGTGGAATGTGACATATCACGGGGGTCTCACCAACCACAGGCAGGACCCAGAGCCCGATGCCTGTGGCGGTACTCCCGGAAGCGAGCCACAGACACCGCCGGCCGCCAGGGCCAGCTCGCTGGCACCAGGCGCCCAGCAGAGGCCCGATGCCGGGACCGACGGGAAGCTGCCGGGTGCCGTCCCTCGAAAGCAGCAACAGATGCCCATGGCCCGGGTCCAGGAGGACTTCCTCCGGTCCCGGAGAGATGGGCAAAAGGCGCGGCATGGCCACTGGCCCGTCGGCCGGCGGCGGGATGTCCAGCAGGGAGTTCCGCATGCGACCGCCAGCCAGGAGCTCCGAGACCGGGATGAAGATCGCCCGGCTGCCTGCGCGCCCGGGCTGGGAGAAAACCACACAGAGCCCCCCATCAGGCAGCCCGAGTGCCGTGCACCGTGCGGGCACCTCGGCTCCGGGCGGAAGGGCCGACGCCTCCAGCGGCCCCGGGCCCAGGGGAAGCAGCTCGACATCGACCATCCGAGTCCCGGGACACATGTGTGCAACCAGCGCCAGGACCCGGCCGGGGCCCGACCCATGCACAACACACCCCAGAGCCAGGGTGGCTCTGGAAGAGGCAGGAGCAGGGAGGAGCGCAAAGAAAGGAGGATGAAGGAAAATCGGTCAGGCAAACCCCCTTCAAGATGGCAGGGCAGGACGACTGATGCCGGTGCGCACATGCTGGGAGACGTGTCGGCACCGATCCCCTCCAGGGGAATGAAGGCAGCCAAGTGAGGGCAGGTGGCCGGCGGCCCGGAGGCCGGGGCCCTCGCGCTGTCAGGGACCAAAATCCCGGCCATGCCGGCCGGGCAAAAGGCCCACCGCCGCCGGGCACGAGGACCGAGCGCCGCATGCACGCGTGCCTCCGCTCGGACGCCCGGCCCCGTGGTCACGCCGTAGACCGCCACCGCGGCCGCTGCCAGTAGCAATGGGGTTATGGTCGAGTCGGTACAGGAGGAGCAGCGCCCCGGGGTGAAGCCTGTCGCCCGGTCGGATGGCCAGGTGCATTGCCATGCCGGCGGGCCCCCGGCAGGGGGCAGCGTGTGCATCGGATTGCCGGCCACCGACTCGGCAAAGAGAGGCACATCGTCCAGCGAGTGGGGGGATGTGGTCGCCGCCGCCGCCACCACCAGAGTCTGAGTGCCGGACACGCTGGCACCCTCGGACGACCAGCTGTCGGGCAGGGTGTCGAGTGCGGGGGTCAGGGACTCGGGCGGGGGATTGGGCAGGGGCCCGGCCTGGAGGGGCCGGCCGACATCCAGCGGGGCCATGGCCGCCGACGGGATGGGCGACCGCTCGGCCGCGGGAATCGACCGGCCATGGGCCAGGCGGTCGCGCGGCCGGTCCGGCTGTGTGTCATTGTGCCCGGGGGGGACGGGCTGCGTCACGTCGGACGAAGTGCCGAAGCTGGCAGCCGGGCCCGGGCTCGTCATCAACATGGGGCCATTCCCCACCGATGACGGAAGGGCCCAGGCAAGGGTGTCCGGCGAGGCGTGCGCGCCCGGCAGCGTGTCTACCTCTTCCAATCCGGCCCGGCACAGCTGGGCATAGTAGTGCAGCAGGCGCCGGCGACGCTCAAGCAAAAGCGCCCGCCATTCCGACACGCCCAGGGCGAGACGCTCGCGATCGCGCGCCAACGAGGACCCCGGGGGATGATCGGCCATTGGGCTGGAAGAGGCTTCCGCGGCAGGGGCCGATCGGCAGGAGAGGGCAGGGCAGAGAGGGAGTAGAGGGCAGGGCAGAGAGGGAGGAGAGGGCAGGGCAGAGAGGGAGGAAGGCACAGCCGCGAGGGGGAGCGGGGCGAGGGAGAGACGCGAAGCAGCGGGGCGGGCGGGCGGGCGGGCGGGCGGGCGGAGGGGGGAGATCTGAGTCGGGGCAGCCGAGCCTGCCGGGCGCCACCTAGGCGGCCGGAAAATGTGCGGGCGGTGACTGATGCATTGGCATATCGGCGTTCTCCATTTGCAGACTTCCGTAGCTGACACCGGACCTCGTGCTGGCCGATCGCCCAGAGTGTGGGGGAAGGCATCGCGCGCGCCGGCCCCGGCTGAGCGCTGACGGCCGGCAAGGGGACACGCCTGGGGGGCCCGGGGCAGCGGAGGGGGAAGGAAAGAAGAGGCAGCAATCTCGGTAGCATGCCAGGCAAGGGGGGACCCATCCAGCGCCTTTCCCCCTCTGTCCGCCCCCCCCCCCCCCCCCCCCCCCCCCCCCCCCCCCCGGCTGCATCCCTCTCCTCCCCTGTCCTCTGTCTCTCTCGCGCCTGCACTTGGACGCCTACTTTTGTGGACGTCTTTTCCTCCCTCTCCCTCCCTCCCGTTGTCGCTCTCGCCCTCCCTTCCCTCGGAACATGTCCTCCTACATGCCACTGCCGCCGAAGCACCTGCTGGAGCCAACTCAGGCCCCATACAAGCGGAGAATGATGGCTATCATCGGTGTTGTGGCAGTTGGCGCGTTGATCTTCCCTCATGTACGTTCCTTGCTGTTGAGATCGCGTCATGATATTGCTGCGATGATTGTCCTTGGAGGGGCTCCCGCTGGCGATGGTTTGCTTTGACCGGGTGTCTGACGGGTACCCTTTGCCCTTGGCGTGTACTGCTGTTGCTGCTGCTGCTGCTGCTGCTGCTGCTG